TTCAAAGAGGAGACTGCAGAGAGGAAATGACTCAGCTACGGATTAGAGAGGGAATTCCAGTTAGGTGAGCTGGAGGTGATAATGTGGCGGGGGAAGAGTTTATTACCGACAGAGGCCAAGACTTCAGAAGCTCACTACAGAGCATCATCAGGAGTCACTGACACAAAAGACAACACCAGTAAAATACAGAGCATTTTCTCAACAGGAGAAAAATCTTGGTACTCTTTACTTTTCATTCTTAGGGAAATTCACCATTCAATTGTACGAGACAGTTGGTTTCAGGAAGCAAACACTACTAAAAATGAGTGAAAGGAAAACATTCACAAGACTTCAGCTAAAATTTACTCATCAGTTGTCGGGGATCCACCTTGCCCCACACACTGGAAGTAGGGGCATGGGTCCTTACCTCCAGGAGATTATGGTCTTGCAGAAAATGACCCTGCTCTGGGAAGAACTTGGCCAAAAATAGGAGGTTAAAAAAATTTTTTTTTAAAGATTTATTCATTACTTGCAAGGCAGAGTGACACACAGAGAGACACAGAGCCGGAGAGAGGAGGATAATGTCCATCTACTAGTTGTTCCCCAAGTGGCTACAACAGCTGGGGCTACTTCAGGACCAAACCAGGCAGCCTAAAAACCCATCCAGGTCTCCATGCTGGTGGCAGGGGCCCATGTACTTGGGCCATCCTCTGCTACTTTCCCAGGAACATTAGTAGGGAGCTGGAACAGAAGTGCAGAAGCCAGGCTCCAACCAGCACTTCAATATGAGATGTCAAGAGTCCCAGGTAGCAGCATGCCAGTCCCATAGATTACATGATCACATTATTGACATTTATGCAACCACTCCTAGGGGTAGGTGTTTTGCGTACTATTACTTGGGACACCTGTATCTAGTGTTTCAATTCAAGTCCTAGCCCCACTCTTGATTCTTGCTTCCGCTTAAATCCACATACTGGAGGCATCAGGTGATGGATCAAATCATTCCCTCCCTGTGGTCCAGACACCTAGATTGTGTTCTGGTCTTCTGCCTCCCCCGACCCAGTCCTGGCTCTTGCAGGAATTAGGGGGATGAACCTGTGGATGGAAGCTCTTTCTCTGTCTGGCAAAAGTATATTTAAAATTCCCATATTACATGGGAATTCTTGAAAAAGGGAATACATTCCAAGTTTTAAAATGAAACATTTTAACACAGGTATAGACAAGAGATGGAGGAAGTCAGGATGGTATCAATGCTTTACTTGAAAGTAGAGGAGGGATAGAGTGTTTGACATGGCAGTTGGGACTCTGCTTGGGATGCATGCATCCCATACTAGAAAGCCTACTTAAAAGTCCTGGCTCGACTTTCAAGTCCAGCTTCCTGCCAAAGTGCACCCTGGGAGACATCACAGGATGGCTGGAGTCCATAGGTTGCTGCCATGGGACACATGGACTGAATTCTGGTCCTGGTCCAGCATTAGCTATTTTGAGCATTTGGAGGGTGAGTCAATAAATAGAAGACCGTTTTCTGCCTTTTAAATAAAAATGAGGGCCTACCATGATGGCCCAGTGGTTAAATCCTTGCCTTGCATGAACTGCAATCCCATTTGGGCACTAGTTTGTGTCTTAGCTGCTCCATTTCCCATTCAGCTCCCTGCTTGTGATTTGAGAAGTAGTAGAGGATGGTGTGAGGCCTTGGGACCCTGCAGCCGCACGGGAGACCTGGAGGAAGCTCCTGGTTCCTGATTTTGGATGGGTCAGCTCCAGCCATTTTGGCTACTTGGGGAATGAATCAACAGAAGAGAGATCTTTGTCTCTCCTTCTCTTGGTAAATCTGCCTTTCTAATAAAAATAAGTAATTTTTTTTAAAAGTTTGCTTATATTTATTTATTTATTGGAAACTCAGATATACAGAGAGGAAGACATTCTGTCCGTTGATTCACTCACTCCCCAAGTGGCTGCAATGGCCAGAGCTCAGCCGATCCGAAGCCAGGAGCCTCTTCTGGGTCTTCCACCCTGGTGCAGGTTCCAAGGCTTTGGACCATCCTCAACTGCTTTCCCAGGCCACAGGCAGAGAGCTGGAAGGGAAGTGGGGCTGCTGGGATTAAAACCAGTGCCCATATGGGATCCTGGTGCATGCAAGGTAAGGACTTGAGCTGCTATGCCACCCCAGGCCCACAAAAACTTACTGAGCATTCATGATGTGCAGATTCTTTCATGTCTGAGGGTTAATGAGGTCAATGATCAATATATGTAAACAATTTAAATGCACTATAATAAGCTGGTTGTTATCTGACTTATGATGGCTAGACAAGATTTTTCTACGTTATGAAAGTGAAGGTGATAAGTTGCCACTAGACATTTTACTCTGAAATGTGGCATTTGGACCTTTTCCAGGCAAGTAGTGAATATGACAGGATACTGACTGGTGATACAGTACATGTGGCTCCTAGCCTGCCATGCCATCATACCGTATTTAGCTGCCAGGAGGTGCTGGCCAGCACGTCAGGGCAGTGTGGGGGCCAGCACGTCAGGGCAGCACACAAGCAGTGTGGCAGTACTCCTGAATGTTTTATGTAACATGAGCCACCTCCTCCCCGAGGGATGAGAGGTTGTCTCTAGTCCTATAAAATGCAAACTGTACCTTAATGATGCAATCAGTTCTTAATACTGGTATAAGATCTCACTTTCTGAGCATACATAATATACAGCAGTACCAGTACGATATTCAACCTAACCTACTTTCCATTAAAATATTGAAATGGGACCAGGGTTGTGGCCTAACTGCTTAAGCTGCCTCCTGCAATGCTGGCATCTAATATGGGTGCTATTTCAAGTCCCTGTTGTTCCATTTCCCATTCAGCTCCCTGCTAATGTACTTTGGAAAACAGCAGAGGAAGGTCCAGATCCTCGGCCCCACCCTGTACAAGGGAGAGCCAGATGAAGCTGCTGGCTCCTGGCTTCAGCCTGGCCCAGCACTTGCCCTTGCAGTCATTCGGGGAGTGAACCAGTAGATGGGAGAGCTCTTTCTCTCCCTCTCTCCACTCCTCTTTCTCTGTAGCTCTACTTTTCAAATAAACTATCTGGACGGGGGAGGGGGTGGGAGGGAGGTTTAAAAACTATAGTAACAAAACAGGAAATGATAAAAATAAGATGTACTACTTTATGCCTTTGAAATAGCATCCCAAGTGTTACATCCCATAGTGAAACCTTGTTAGATTTTGTAGAAGAAAAAATTTAGATATGGAACCAATTGTGCATACAATTTTCTTGCAAGGCTATAGTTAATCTTTCCTTATTGTGTGGTTAAAATATTTTTGCCCTATTTTCAACAAATGGACATTAGTTACATTGACATTTGGAAAGCCACTAGCTCAGGAGGACATATCCTGGGAAACTAAGTACATAAAAATACCACGCCTGTACTTATACACACTTTTTATGTGTATATCATATTGACATTTAACACCCAGAAAAACATCTGTTGTCGCCCACCTAGGATTTTAAGTTATAATCACGATGCTTTTATCTTCTAGTTCAATGAAAATAGTCTATTATTAATGACAACTCTTGCGGGCTCGCTCAGTTCTGTAACGCAATCTCCTTCAGAGTTCTCTTTCTCCATCTAGCCACCATGGTGAAAATCTAAAGGATCTCACTGCTTCCTCCGAAAGGGGATGCGGAACCCCGTTTTTCTTGATCTGCTGCCAACTCCTAAAACTCGCCCGGTCCCAGAATGGCAAAGAGCAGAGGCAAAGCGGAATAGCTCGCTCAGCAGTGGGACCACGTAGGGCAGTCAGCACGTCCGGAGAGCTCTGGGGCACCGGCCCAAAGAGAACGACCCTCAAACCCCGGGAACTCACAGGGTACCAGGAAAGCAGAGACAGAGAGCAAACGACAAGCCGAGAAAAAGGCCCGACCCTTTGGGATCGCAGAAAACACGCAAAGAATGCAACAGAAACGCCAGGAATTCAGGATGGGCAACCACTGGCCAGAGCGACCAAAACCAGTTCCATCCGAAGGCAGGCACTCGGTGGTGAGACCCTCGGGCTGGGCAGCGGCGCCCGGGGCACTGCCCGCGCGAAGGGAACTGACGACCGGGTGGTCTGGAGCCAGGTGGCTCCCACAAGGCGGAGTCTTTGGGCCAGGGCCGGCGGTCAGTGGCGTCCAGCGGACACTCGGCGCGGGGCTGAGGGCGGGGCTGAGGGCGGGCCCGGGGGAGGGGCCCGCCCTGCGCCGGCGCAGGGCGAGGCCGCGCTCCCTTTGGCCGTGGAGCCAGCGGCGGCGGCGGCGTTCTGTACCCGGCATGCCGCGCGGGAGCGGCGGCGATCCTACGTCGCTCCCTTTCCCAGCCCTGCCTCCTTTCCGCCTCCCCCCCCCACCCGGCTCCCGTCGCCGTCTCCCCCGCCCTTCCCCTAAAGTGAGTGAGTGAGACCGGCAGATGGAGGAGGGACTGTAATGGCGGCGGCCGGCTGCTCCTCACTCTGACCCACGGGCAGGCGGACCGCGACGACCCCTTCCCCGCCCCTCTCCCGGCCGGCCTCCGCCCCGCCGCCAGCGCGGGGCCAGTCTCTCCGGCCTTTCCCCCGCAGCAGCCGGCGTCTCTGCCTGCGCCCCGGCCGGGGCCCCCCCCACACACAATGGACGAGCTTGCCGGAGGCGGCGGCGGTGGAGGCCCGGGGATGGCGGCCCCTCCTCGGCAGCAGCAGCAGGGACCAGGGGGGAACGGAGCCGCGGGCGCCGGGGGTCCCATAACGGCCTCCGAGGGCGCGGGTCCCACGGCAGGCCCCGAGCTGTCCCGGCCGCAGCAGTACACTATCCCGGGAATATTGCACTACATCCAACACGAGTGGGCTCGGTTCGAGATGGAGCGAGCGCACTGGGAAGTGGAGCGGGCCGAACTGCAGGTACTGGGCTGGGATCGGTGTGCGGGACGCTGGCTGCAGCGGCCGGCCTCGGGGGTGGGGCCCGGGCTCCCCTCCTCCGCCGGAGCCTGAGACTCGAGAGGTGAAGGAGGAACCTACCTGTGTGAGGCTCGGGGGTGCTGGTCCCGACGCCGGCTCTTCTGGGGCCCCCTTCCCCTGGCCCGCACGAGCCCGTTCCCCAGCCCTCACTTAGCGGCGCGGTGCGGGCTTCCTCGGGGCAGCCATTTTGGCTGTTAGTATGGCGTCTGCGGGGGCTGCTCCGGAGAGGCCGGCCTGCCCGGGCCTCCGGGGCTGGGGACCCAGCTTCTCTGTTTTGGGGAGTCCGGCATGAGGCTGCTGGACGGTGGGCTCGCGTTTGTCTGTGCCTCTTGAGGTGGGGAGCCCGAGGAGTGGGACGGGGTGAACATCTTCACACTTTTTTTTCCCCTCCCCCTGAACTCCCCTCATTTGACTTGTCCGGCCCCTTCCCACGACTTGGTGGGCACTTGCCCCCTGACATGCACGCGTGTTTCTTGGACTGCTACCAAGCACGATGGTTTGCGGCTGACCTGGGAAGTTTGCAGCTTCCACCGTCAACTCCTAAGTACTTTCCTACCTGGGATGCTGCTTGCCGTCTCAGTTGGATGCCATGGAGTTCCTCCTTAGTGACTCATCAACGCTTGCAACACCGGCTTGTACCTCTCACTGTCCCCGTTCCCCAGATCTCCCCGCGCAGCCCCATCATGACCCGTAGAAAACCCAGCCAGACCATCTGCTGTATTTAGGAGACGACTGAAGATTTCATAATTGTGCTTGAAGTCAAACGTGCCTCTCTCGCCTTACAAAGTGGTGCTGGGGACCACTTCATACGCGGGCCCGACCCGTTCCTGTTGAAGTGACCCTGCGTGTCCTAGCCTTTGGAAGGTGTTGGGACACTCAGGGTTCATGTCTTGCATCTCAACATTGTTGCAGTTTTCTGAGAGAATTGTTTAACTTTTTTGGACAGTTGTGTTCAAGTTGCGTTCTAGGGCAATTTGAGGCCTTGAAGAGAAAGTGCCCACAGCTGAGTGCTCTTGCACCTGTTCTGGAGACTGTTCATATATTTAGGATGTCAGCCGTCACTTGTCCTATATGCCCGCGGTGTTAATGTATAGTTAGGAAAAATGTATCGAAGGAAGGTTGGGTTACATAAAAAGTTATGTCCTTGAACAAATACAAATCTCTTAAGTTTGATTTTGTGGTGGTGAGCTTTTGATTCCACCAAATGGGTTAAGTTATACTTTCTAAGAAAGTAACAATATCAGAATATTTTGATACTTTATCAAGTCTCAAAAAAATTGCTACTTTACAGATGTTAGTATTTTAGGGTTTTGCTTTGCTAGACTATTGGGTATTAAAAAAATATACCTTGAAGGGCCTAGCACAATAACCTAGTAGCTAAAGATCTCTTGCTTTGCATGCACTGTGAGCCCATATGGGCGCTGGTTCATATCCTGGCTGCTTCACTTCCCTTCCAGCTCCCTGCTTGTGGCCTGGGAAAGTAGTGGAGGGCGGTCCAAAGCCTTGGGACCCAGCACCGGGGCAGGAGGCTCAGAAGAAGCTCCTGGCTCCTGGCTTTGAATTGACTCAGCTCTAGCTGTTGCAGCTACTTGGGGAGTGAACCAGCAGATGGAAAATCTTTTGTCTTTTCTCCTCTGTACATCTGACTTTGCGACAAAATAAGACACTTGAAAAAAATGCACCTTGTGAAAGCCTGAGGTCAGGATTGTCTGTGGTTTCCTGTAGCTGGAGTGCAGTGTGTCTGCAGTACTGAGATTCATAGAATTCTGCTCGTGTATCTAGTCCACTGTGCTGCAAATGTAATTTTGTGTGTGAGTAGAGTGGTGTTGCTAAAAGCATTTTTCTGGAAAAATGGCATGGAGGTATGGGCTCAGTTAATAATATGTCATTGGTAGATGATGATTTTTGACCTTTGTACACAAGTTTGGACTTTAACACTTTTGAAGTTAACAATTGCCTGTCACTCAGAAGCTTTCTTAATGTTATGTAGCTGAGAGAATGTTTTGCCTGTGTTTAATGAAACTGATATTAATGAAACCTATATTAATTATCTCTCCTAGCTCTGGTTTTCTAGTTCTCTTTTAATAGCAGTACGAAAGTCCTCTAAGAATGTTTTTGTTTTCTGGCTTTGAGTAGATCAGCTATGATACAGTAGTTCTAACAGCTGTTCCGGTTGTTCTTGTTTGCTTGTTTTGAGTTTTTCTGGCCTTTTTAAATTTTTCTCAGGGATTTTCATTGTTTGGTGTTCATTCTTTTGGAAGAAAACATTGATGATTGTCTTTGTGTAGGGTGTGTGTATGTGCTGTGTATTGCTTCAAATCTTGGCGTAATACTGGTTCACTGTTTTTGTCTTAAGTATTGAATTTCTTTCAGTGTCTTCAGTCTTTAGTAAGGTTGTTTGTAAAACTGTTCAAACAGATGAATACAGAATTTATGGGAGGGTTTCAGTGAGCTGTCGGGATTAGAACTGACACCCATATGGGATCCTGGGTGTGCAAGGTGAGGACTTTCGGTGCTAGGCCACTGCACCTGGCCTGCAAGAACTTTTTGAAACATCGTTGTATACTTTTTTTGCTGTAAAATTTTATAGTAGAATCATATTTTTCCTAGCTTGTAAAATGGGACTTGCAGCATGATTCTGTTCCGGTATAAAGCATGTGGGGAATGCTTTCAGACTTTTATGTCCGTGATGCTTATTTACGTTGGATTCAAGAAAACCATTGATCGCTGGAGTATAGGACAGTGGTTGCTAAACAGGAGTGCTAATCAGAAGCACCTGAAGAACCTTTGAAAACATGCCTTCCTCTGCCTTTTCCTTCACGATTGATTGGTCTAGGAATTGAAGCATTGACTATTTGTGGAATTTTAACACTTGCTGTTACATGAAAATTATAGTGCAAAATGATCGGCACTACAAACTTAAGGATTTTGTTCCTATTTACAAATGAGAAGACAAACTTTGGTGGCCGAAATAACTTTCCTGAAGACTTCCAGCTATAAAATGTAGCAGCTGAGATTCAAACCCAGACTTGAAAGCCCATCACCTTTTTACCCAGTGTTGTAACTCACTGTCGTTTTAGCATTTTTGTAAAGAAATGTATAGAATCTGACATGTGATTATTTGCCTAGCATAATGTGGCTCACACTGCTTGAATAAATTTCAGCAGTTTCATTTATCCCTATGATGTGCCAGACCTGCTTTGTATAAGTTGCAAAGTATGTCTTTATGTTTTCTCCTGTAATTGGCATGTAGCAGATATACTTCGAAGGTATATAAAGTGCCCATTTTGTCAGCTCTCAAATATGATAGCTGATAAATGGAAATTGTAGTAAAGGAGTGTATTTGCTAAATTTACTGATTCTAGAGCTCATACAAGCATTTTAATTAGATTTTTATTCTCACATTCTGGTATACAAACTGATTATGACATGTAAAGATACTTAGAAAAGTATTTGGCTTGGATAAGGCTTTACTGCTTTGCTTTAAAAAAATTTTTTTTAGGGCCCGGCGGCGTGGCCTGGTGGCTAAAGTCCTCGCCTTGAACCCGCTGGGATCCCATATGGGCACTGGTTCTAATCCCGGCACCTCCACTTCCCATCCAGCTCCCTGCTTGTGGCCTGGGAAAGCAGTTGAGGATGGCCCAAAGCTTTGGGACCCTGCACCCGTGTGGGAGATCCGGAAGAAGTTCCTGGATCCTGGATTCAGACCGGCATAGCATCGGCTGTTGCGCTCACTTGGGGAGTGAATCCCCAAGTGGATATAGATGGAATTATTAAGAGGAAAAATGTGATTTTTTTACCTGACAGCATGTTCTCTTGTTTAACTTGTCACACGGTGATTGTAGGAGTTTGTGTGCTGCAGTACGTGACAGCCTCAGTGCATGAACACACTGTGATCAGATCAGGATAATTGAAGTATCCATCACAGGCATTTTTCGTGTCGTATTGAAGCTTTATAATTCTCTGCAGTTGTTACTTAAAAATACTGAATTATCAACTACAATCTGATGGGCTGTGGAATATTGAAAAATTATTCTCTTTCTGGCTGCACCTCTGCATGCATTAACCATCCCTCTCCATTCCCTGCTCCTCTGTACCTTTCTCAGGTTCTGGTAACCACTGTTCTATTCTTTGTTTTCATGACCTGAACTTTTAAAGCTTCCTCGTAGGGGAGAGCATGTGGTATTTGTTTTTCTGTGTCTTTCACCTTACATGATAGCCAGCATTTCCATTCATGTGGCTGCAAATGATAGCAATTCTTTTTCAAGACTGAGTAATATTCCATTGTGTGTTTTCTTCATTCATATATTGATGGGCACCTAAGTTGAATGCAGATCTTGGCTATTGTGAATAGCACTGTAATAAGCAGGCTGATGCAGCTACTTCTTTAGTTTATGGGAATGCTGGATCATGTGGCTTTTTAAAAAGATAATCTATATTGTTTTCCATAATGGTATTTAATCTGGGGTTTTAATCTTTCATACATTTTTACTGCTCTGTTGTTTCCTCTTTCCAGGCACAGTGTTTTGTTTTTTTTTTAAGATTTATTTATTTTTTTATTGGAAAGGCAGATATACATAGACGAGGAGAGACAGAGAGGAAAATTGTCGGTCTGTTGATTCACTCCCCATGTGGCCGCAATGGCTGGAGCTGAGCCTATCTGAAGCCAGGAGCTTGGATCTTCTTCCAGGTCTCCTATGCGGGTGCAGGACTGCTTTTCCAGGCCACAAGCAGGGAACTGAATCAGAAATGGGGCCGCTGGGATTATAACCAGTGCCCTAGCTGGATCACGGTGCATGCAAAGTGAGGGTTTTGCCACTAGGCTATCACGCTGGGCCTGGAACAGTGATTATTTATTATTATTTTTTTAAAGATTTATTTTTATTACAAAATTAGATATACAGAGAGGAGGAGAGATAGAGAGGAAGATCTTCTGTCCTGTGAGCGCAGTGGCCTGTGCTGTGCTGTTCAGGAGCCAGGAACTTCCTCCAGGTTTCGCACATGGGAGCAGGGTCCCAAGGTTTTAGTCTGTGGGACAGTGATTATTAATTGAGAAAACTTTTTTGATATAATTGAGTCTATAACCTTAGTTCAGTCTCTCGCTTCTCTCCCTCCCTCCACTGTGTTTATTGGAGGGAGGGCAGGCGGAGATAGGAGGGGATGAGAGGTATTTTCCATCTCCTTGTTCTCTCCCCAGATTACTGATACAGTCAGGTGTGGGCCAGGCTGAAGTTGAGAGGCAGAAACTCCATTTGGGTCTGTGATGCATTAGCAGGGAGCTGGCTTGGAAGCAGAGCGCCAGGAGCTCAGTCCGGACAGTT